TCTCTCTCTCTCTCTCTCTCTCTCTCTCTCTCTCTCTCTGTGTGTGTCTCTCTCTCTCTCTCTCTCCATGCCTATCCATTTCTTTTCATCCCTCTCCATCTCTCTCGCTCTCTCTCCCGCTCTGTCTCTTTCTCTCTCTCTCTCTCTCTCTCTCTCTCTCTCTCTCTCTCTCTCTCTCTCTCTCTCTCTCTCTCTCTCTCTGTCTTTTTCTCTCTTCCTGCCCCCCCCCTTCCCCCCCCCTACAAAAAAACCCAAAAAAACCACAACAACCATCCAACACGTTCATAGTTTTCCCGAAGCAAAGTAAGACTATTCTGTGGAACTGTCTTTAAGAACATCCAGTGTTAAGAAAATAGAAAACAGCCCTCACTGTCCCGCATAGTTTTCAAGACAAGAATAAACTCAATTTAAACGACATAATATTTTCCCTTGGTGACAATATCTCGCTTTTTTAGGAGGAAACACGACTTTTGGTATTCGCTCAAGAAATCGATTTGGTGCTAAAATAATGTGAGGCGGCGTGGTGGAATCAGGCTGTCGTCAGTTTTTGTGCATGTAGAGTTATTGGTATCATCTTAAAGCTTGTTCACTTGGATTTTTAAAAAAGTATCAATTTATCTTGAATACAAGTCGAGATATTTGCGAAAGAAAGAGGCGGGGGTCACCTGTTTTCAGAGGTAAAATTAGTGAGTAAACAGCCTCCAAAGATTAGTTATTTCCTTAGCTTAAGAGTCCGGGGTAACTGAAAATTTACATTTTTGTGTCTTCAATCAACGCTTTTCAGAAAAATCCACACAGAAATGAGTTCTTTAATGGGAATGAAAGTTGTTGAGCCAAAAAACAAAAATTTGATAAAAATTCACAAACCTGCGGAAAAATGCAAGATTCTTCACTTTGATTATTTTGACGAGAGCCTGATTCCACCATGCTGCCTCACATATCGATATAGACTTTTTGGGTTTTGTTTTGCCTTGTTTTGTTGGGGGGGGGGGGGGGGGGTTCATCTTAAAACGGAGTATGTCATTGTCATAAACTTATTGAACTTGATCTCGCAACGTGGGTAGAAACGTGGTTTAATTTAAACAGGTCTGAACGGATTAAGGAGTTTTAATTTTTAATGAACGTAGACAAAGAGTCTACATTACAAGAGGGGCCACTTCTCTCTTTGAGCCAATTAAAAAAGTGTCCTCAAAATTCGGTGGCGCCCTCTTCGCAAAAGCGCACCTTTTGCAAACAGAGTTATCCTACTTGAGTTTAAAAAGTCAAAGTGAAACTAGCAAGTTTTTGAATGAATTTCGGAAGAACGCTTTTTTTTTTTTAAATGGTTACGCTGACAAAAAACCTCTTCCGGAGGAAAGGGTGATTGTTTTCTTCGTTTAATTTGACTTTAGAATGAAAGGCGAGAGGTCATTAAAATAAAAAAAAACCCTAAAACTCCGCACTGAACGTGCCCGAACAGCTGATGAACAGCAGTCGATCTGCGCACGCAAGGAGGTACTATTCCTATTCTTCTTCTGGAAAAACGAAAGAGAGCTTCAAAACAGACTGCAGCGCCATCTGAAGCAGAGAGCATACTTCCTGCGGACACTTTTTTGGCTGAGTGGCCCATCTTGTTATTTACTATCTTTGACGTAGACGAACATTTAGGCTATTCCTTGACGATGCGTTCAGTATTGGTATTTGCACCAAGAAACACCATAGCCCATACCAACATTTAAATTTATGTTTTTTTAACTTTCTTTTTACGATTTTTTCCATTATCTAAAAAAGATTATCATTTTAATCTCATTAAAACTTTGAACGCGGCTTGTAAGTGTTTGATGCCCTTAATCTCAGATAGGATTGTCGGTATAGTAACAATCTTGTGCTCGTGAGAGCTTTTAAACAGAATTAATGTTTGTATATAGATCTATGTGAGGTGTGCTGACAAAATGAGTTACTTCTTGCAATCCACAAACGGAGATATTTTTTAAAAAAATCAACACTGGGGTCAAATTTGTAGATTTTCTATTGATGTCATATTCTTTAGGTGTAATATACCTGTTATTATTTCAAAATTGTGTATTTTGAAAACTTATAAGCGTGGTGTATCTATGTCCATAGGGCTCGATTTCTAGAAGTGACTCATTTTGTCAGTACGTTTCACATTATATCGTGTTTGTTTTGATTATTGCTTGTGTTGATATGAATATTTCTCAGAAATTTGGTAAAAATGAGTGTATCTGTGTGTGTTAGTATGTGTGCGTGTGTGTGAGCGTGTGTGTGTGAGCGTGTGTGTGTGTGTGTGTGTGTGTGTGTGTGTGTGTGTGTGTGTGTGTGTGTGTGTGTGTGTGTGTGTGTGCAACTGAATTATCAAGACGAAAGGTGACTGACAACTATTGCTGTTTATTCATTGTCATGGTCATCCTCATATGGCACATATCAAGTGTTCTGATCTAGAACAGACAGATAGAAAGTTAGGTAGATAGTTATAGATAGACAGACAGACAGAAAGACAGACAGACAGAAAGACAGACAGACAGATAGGTAGATTGGTAAGTAGGTAGGTAGGTAGGCAGGCAGGTAGGCCGCCAGCAGACAGGCAGACAGACAGACAGACAGGTATGTAGGTAGGTAGGCAGGCAGGTAGGCAGACAGACAGACTGATAGATAGATAGATAGATAGATAGATAGATAGATAGATAGATAGATAGATAGAT